ACTCCAACTTGCGTTATATTTCGACGTATGGATGTCTTAGTATTTATTGGTGAGCCTCTTCATCGAAGTGTGGGGAGTTGTATTAGGTTCTAAGGTGTCATAGGACATTCGGTGATTATTAAGATGGATTAGCATCCTTTTGAAATATATAATATTATCCCTATGCTGGAACTCGGAACAGTAGACTGATTCGATTTGCAAAACCACAAGTAAACGTGGTATATATATATATGCCGTTATGGGGTGTCGTATCTACGTTGGATGTGTAGATCCGATTCCCAGGAAGGGATTCGTATATAGAACACCATCCTCGGCTAAAACAGTGCAAGAATTTTAAAAATGGGATGAACCGGGTGGCTGCGGGTGGTAGTAGTGAGAAATACGAGATGAGGATAGTGACCACTATCCTCGCCCGTTTATACACAACAACTCTAAGAGTTGTGTATATAAAAGAGCTGGAGTAGGATAGTGCTGCAGCATAAAATAATTAGTGCTGTTACGTCATAATTCCAAGAGATATGACATACCAGCACGAGTAATTTAAGCAGCAGAACTAACTACTCCCAAATCCATAGTTAGAGAATCTTTCTAGAATAGTATTTGTTCCTATAACTACTGGAAGTCCCCACCGTTACGTCGAGGGTTCTCCTGGTAACAAACAGATGTTCAGGCGATAATCTGCAATCGCGTCGGTGTTACCACAGATTGATAGCTCTTGAGGGAGGCAATGTCGATGCTGAGGAGGCCGGCGATGAGATCGTCTGGAACACGGAGGCTAAATGCACTCTGTGCTAGCCCTCTACGGAAGACGTGCCAGTGTTCGTAGCGTCGTGCGGTTTCACGGGATAAACCCGCACGAATGAAGTAGTCGTGGACCATCAAGATGCTGTCGTCGTCATTGAGCGCATTGAGGACAGTAGCAGGGCTTAGAGTGAAGGTACTGCGGGGATCTACTGCATCGAGAAGAGGGAGGGACATAAATTCGAAAGTCAGGGGGTCAAGGATTCGGGTGATGATCTTTGATACCTGGGATCTGTCGCCTCGTTTCTTCGTGTGGAGGTCGACGATGAGAGTGTGAGTCGACGCCTCAAAAACCAAGGACTCGGGTTCAAATGTCTTATTGGTGTGGCGTCTAGCGCCCATAAGCCAAAGGGTGGCTATAAGGGCACGCCATTGCTCCTCAATGCCGTGTGCGACCAAAAGGGAAACCGCCCAAGGTACAATAATCTTAGGAAGATCCGGCAGGGTGGCAGAGTGGTATTGATTCCAGAGGCTGATATAGCCTTTGATAGCGTGTTTTCAGGCACTGTCCTGGATATGACTGAGACCTGAGGAACGAAATAGACTAGTGGCAGCAGCCCATATCTTCTTCACTTGGTCCGGCAAAATACCTTCAAAGAAACAATACTCGAGGAAGCAGGTCAGTTGAGTCGTAGTAGGTACGAACGTAGTGAGGTTGTGCTGTGCTGCAAACATATTCCAGACTGTCAGGGCTGAGCGATAGGTTTTCTGTGTACCCGGAGCAAGGCCTCCATTGTAGAGCTGTTCCCGGACGTGCGACGCACTCATCGACGATTCTGCCGTTGCCGATCAGATCGTACAGTACTGCGGCGTACAGACGCGTGGGGAGTATGCAGACACCTAGCTGTTCTGCCACATGTGCGGGGTTGTAACTGCCGGCCCCCCACATTAGATTCTATGTTATAAACGGACTCTTAAGCAGTACGTAAACTATAAGCGTACTTCTAATAGTACGAGGAACTTAAGTTTCTTAAATGGGTTTTAACGGTTATATTGATTAATACATTTTCCATTTTACATATCAGATATTTGGACAAGACCATTAAAAGGGTTCTATTAATAGAACTATATTTACTTTCCAAATCTATTTATATCGAAATACTTCGGTAGCGAGATGGCTCAACCGAATATAGGTTTCTAAGGACTATTAGCGTTACCTAGTTTAACCTCCGTTCAGCCAACCAGATGTGCCAGACTGGTGAAGGCTAAGCCGGTAATTCTTGATAGTGGCAAGCTATTGGATATGACAATAACTAAAGACGTCAAGAGTATTTTTATTTTAATTTCTTTTTTCTAAAGATAGGATTTTATGAGTCTCTCGGATTCGCCCCAACGAATCATACCATAGAAACTTACACGTTTTAAAGTTAGCAAAGTTGTTTATTACTTAGACTACTTAAACGTAAAGGTAGATAACTACCACGAAATTTTTCTTGAGCACAGTCATTCCTTAATAGAATAAGACCGAAGTCATAATTAAGATAATGACAAAGAAAGACAATACGCCTGCAAAGAAACGCAAGGCCGAACGTATAAAGAGAGAAACAGAAGCTGCTAGCGCTGCAACAGCTACCACTGCCGCAGAAGCAGCCGTAACTGCTGCCGATGCATTTAACCGCACCGTAGCCGAAGCACTTGTCTCCGACATTAATAGTCAGGACAATGTCTCGGAAAAGGATGTAGCCACTCCGATTAAGGAGACTACTCCTACAGACAGAGCCCGAGGGCCAACTATTGGTGAGACTTCGAAGCTTGCATTTACGAAGCCAAGAAGGAAACAAGGGACACGTCTCAAGACGCCCCAATCAATTCTTCTGACGAAACTCAGAAAGAAAAGTCCCCAATTATAGGGGACAAAGACGAATCTCAGAAGGTACTTATACCGGAAGAAGAGGCAAGCTCAAGTGGCAAACCCGAATCTACGTCCGAGACCACTGAACCAACGCGCATAAGTAAGTTAATTACTGAAAACACTGATCTTAAGAATCAGTGTAAGATTCGGTCTATCAAGGTGATAGGAACGTCTTAGAGTAATTAAACGCTTAGGTTAAATCTAAGTATAGTGAAATTCGAAATAAATAAACGAAATGAGTCTAATAAAGTTAGGTATGCCTCGTAAAAACAGCAATACTCTGAGGGATTGTGAGGCTGAGACATTGCCTATATATAATCCTCACAGTACTGTTTTCGCCGAAGGGATTTTATTTATCTTTTCGTTGTTCGATCGAATTTGAATGACTCTTAAAATCCTATCTTTAGAAAAAAAATAGTAAAAAGAAAAAAATAATACTCTTGATGTCTTTTGTTATTATCTTAACCAATAACTTTCCACTTATCAAGAATTACCGACTTGCCATCATCAGACTGGCACATCTGGTTGGCTGAACGAAGGATCAACTAGGTAACATTAATGGTCCCTAGAAACCTATTTTCGGTTGAGCCATCTCGCTACCTAAGTATTCAGATATAAATAGATTTGTAATAAAATATAGTTCTATTAATAAAACTATTCCAAATCCTATCTTTGGCATTTTAATCGGCCTTTTAATAGCCTTCATCCAAACATCTGATATGTAAAATGGAAAATGTATTAATTAATAAAACCGTTAAAAAGCATTTAGGAAACCTAAGTTCCTCGTACTATTAAAAGTACGTTTATATTTTACGTACTGCTTAAGAGTACGTTTATAACATAGAGTCTAATGTGGAGGCCCGGCTATTACACAGTCCCCACCCAGCTTTGAGACCCAAGAGAGGCTAGTTGCTCACTCAAGCTGATTTTGGTCCAAAAAGCGAGTAAAAGGAAAACGGATCGAAACATTAAGTAGCATAACATATAGTTAATATTTCTCAGGCGAAGAACTTAAGCGTTCTCGTATACCCTGTGAGTTTTGGGCTTAGGTACAGTAGGTCCGTGGTGGTCGACTGGACGTTTCTTACGCTTCAGTGTCTTAAGCACATATAAGGATGAGCATTAAAGCTCGGGATAAATGCTGTAGGCGGGTAAGTTTTAACTTCCGTGCCTTCAGACGATGGAAACATGCTATCTTTTTCAGCGTGTGACTTATGCAGGTGTTTACACCATTTTCGATTAAAGGATTTTAAATAGTCTTGATTATCGAAAGCATATGAAGTCAACTCAGCGATTGTACCGTCTATATAGCGAGTACGATAGTATGTATATCCTTCTTTATCCGTTCTCCATATTATATCTTTAAATTCGGAGCGGTCAAGAGGGACATTAGAGTCATGTCTTCTTGCGAGTATAATCTCTGTAGTCGGAATACGACTTGTGCCTATATTAAGCGCACTAGAACCATCGGGGTTATTTACCTCGTACGTTCCACTTTTAGTGTCTGCTACAGAGATGATATATGGACCTATCAATTTAGATGTTAATACAGTAGCATCGTAATTACGTTGACGGATGTTAACTCTGTCACCAACCTGATACTCTGCTATCTTCTTGGTAGTGTTCCAACGCTTTTGCCTTTTTAATAAGGCTATATTGCGCATTTCTCGCAAGCAAGGATTTACAACGTTATAAATACGTTGGACCTTCTCTAACCATTGTAACTCATGGTGATCGGGCTCGTCCTTGTTTAAAGGGATTTGTATCTCACTATATCTGCCACGAAAATAGTAAGCGGGTGTTTTACCTATAACCGGATCAGCACACTTGTTCATCTGTGTTTGTACCCACTTAAGGTGGTACGGCCAATCATCTGCATCATCCGTTAATGCAGTACGTAGGAAGAACTTAAGTCTTCTATGGCGCGTTTCATTCGCGCCTTGTGTTTGCGGTTTAATGGTACACCCCTTTTATGGCATATGCCTGATACGAGTACTAACGTTTCCATTACGTCATCGCAGAACTCGCTACCGTTATCAGTACACATTATACTCGGCTACCCGTGGTCAGCAAAGACTTGGCAACATAATTCTGCCACGGTCTGCGTATTCTTATTCTTTAATGGATAGAGCAAGTTAAACCATGACGCCACATTAAAGAAGTGGCACACGTAAAACCAGATCAATAATGACCCTGCGCCATGGAACATCTTCAGTCACACTCTTAAGCAGGACGAACCCATAGCGCTTGATCTGATTGAGATCACAGTCTGTACATGACTGATATACTCTGTCAACTAAAGCTGCCAGCTTAAGGTGCGCGATCCCATTTCGCTTAGCATCTTTAAGTGCGTCTACTACGTTCTGGTGCTTCAGCTTATGGTTTTGCGTCAGCCAAGCAAGAATATTTTTATCATCCTGCTCCTCCAGAATAAAGGTAGGGTGTTGAGAATCCACTTGCGTGGTCTCTAAGTCTGTAGTGTTTCCAGACCCCTGTCCTTCTTTCGCATGAGTGTCATAAGTGCGCTCGTGTGCGTTTGATACACCTGACTTATTTAATAGTCGCATTGTGTATACGCTTCAGGATTGTCTTTCATTAATCCTTTTAAAATAGGGTTTGAAAGACCTCGGGCTTGGACTTTATGTTATTAAACAGAGTCCTGGCTAGAGACTGATGCTTCTTAACAGTGTCATTAGTAGATTGTATTTCTTGTGCACAGATGTTAAATGCTGTGTTGCCTTTGAACTGCTTAACGTTCAATTTAGTAGAGAGTGGAATCTCTGATTCTTTGACCTGGTTAAATCAGGTCTCAGAAGGGGTCCATTTTGGAAAGAAGTTTACAAACCCACACATGCTGTTAACATCTCTCCCTGTAGTTGATGTTCGCCAACCTAACAGGTGTGATACCTTACCGGGGTCGATTCTAATACCTTCCCCAGATATATGGTAGCCTAAGAGCTGTATTTCGCTCATTGCGAAGTGGGATTTCTTCTCGATAATCTTGAAGTTTTGCTCGTTGAGTCTCTTAAGGACTCGTCTGACTATTGCGGCGTGTTCGCCCTTAGTCTTCGAAAAGATGACTATGTCATCTATATAGACTTGCACGTTAGGCATGTCTGCAAACATTTCTTCCATTACTTGTTGGAAGAATGCTGGTAAAGATTGTAACCCGAAAGGTGCACCTCTGAACCGGTAATGTTTGCCTTTCCACGTAAAGCTAAAGTAATTACTGTGGGGTTCATATACCTGCATTTGATGGTATTTTTGTGTAAGGTCTATAGTTGTAAACACTGTAGCACCTTCCATCCTTTGCAATAGCTCGTTAATACAAGGTAAGTGAAAGCTATTAGTCGGCAATAATTTTTTTATTGGACTCATATCTAAACATACTTTGACTTTCTTAAACGATCCGTCAGAGTTATGTTGGTCTACCGGCTAGCAGCGCTAAGTTCACTGGCGTCTGTTGATAATTAATTTCTATCACTCCATCTGCTAGCCATTTCTCAACTTGTTCTTTTACCAGAGCCTCGTGTCTCCAGGATACATAGTTCCTTGAGGGACACTTAAACTGTGCGAAGTCTACTTAGGTTAAGTCAAGGCTGACATATCCGTCGTTAAAGCGGACTTTTGCCCAATCTGTGATCTTTATCTTCTTATTAACTAGAATCAGATCCATGATTTTGTTCGCAAAGTCAGGTATTAAGGCCTTGACTGTGTCTGACGGGGGCTTATATGGATTCAGACAGTTATCGTCTGATTGATCCTTTAATGAATCTATGTTATTTGGTAGACCAGTTACGGTTATACCTAGAGTGAGTAAATCGCTCATTCCGACTATAATGTCGTACTTCTTCGACATTTTAACTATCACAGCTTGAGTAGTGATATTTTTATCATTGGCCAGGGAGATTCTAAC